TCTGAGGGCATTGTTTTTACTTGTTAGAGTGTTTTTTATATATTGCATTGTGATTCTTATATATTGCATTGTGAATATGTTGTGTAAGTTTCTTGTATTGTGTCTTGTCTCTTTTATATATTTCGTATGTATTGTTTTTTGTTCTTATCTGGACCTTTGAGTCTGTAATAAAGCTTATTATTATTATTTATACAGTGATTTAGAAAGTCAATTTAACCTGAATGAATGAATGATGTCTGTCTTCATGTGAAGCAGCATCACTGATGATCTTCAGCTGTAAAAGTCCAGCTTCATCCAATCATGCAACAAGTCCCAGATGTTCATCACCCACAATTCATCCTACTTTTTCCTTAAAACAAGACACATTTTTTCAACTCACTATAGATCATAGATTTCATTAAAAGGAACTGAAAGTATAAATGACTAAAAACAGAATATTGGCAGCAGAGGAAGCAGTGAATCTCAATGGTAATCGTATCATGAACCAGGGGCATAAATATAGATAGTTCAGGCCGAACAGTTGCACTGGGACCTGTGGCTAATTGGGCAAATCAGATTGCAGCCTCAGAACTACACCTGTGCTCAAAGAAAAACTCAACCCTATACCTCCCTCTTATGCAGCTGAACTACTTCACCCATATTCTTCAGCTCGCTGTCTTCAGTCATTCATTCATTCATTTCCCATAATCGCTTATCCTGTTAGGGGTTGCGGGGGGGGGTGATCATCACCTGGTGGTGAGTTGGATCAGATAGTGGGGGAGGCTGACAGACCTGGTAAGCCCAAACATGAAATGAGGGTGAATTAGGAATGTCTGGCTGAGGACCCTGGCTGTGAGGTCTTCAACTCCTTCCTCTAGAGGCATTTTCTTTACATCACAGGGGATGCTGGGGGACATGGAGTCCAAGTGGGCCATGTTTAAAGCCTCCACTGTGGAGGCTGTTGCCATAAGTTGTGTTTGGAAGACTATCAGTGCTTCTTGTGGCGGCAACCTAAGAACCTGCTGGTAGACACTGGCAGTGAAGGAAGCCTTTTAGGTCTGGTTGACCCAGGGATCGCCTGAAGCAGCAGACGGGTATTGTTTGCCCATAAGGGCTGCAGCTGAGGTGGTTGCCAAAGCAAAAACCCAGATGTAGGAGGAATT